TTGTTCGCGTTATAATGAAACTTTAAAAGGATTACGCGTCCTGATCCTCGCGTCATCAGTGGACGTTGTCATGTTCGATGCTCGTCACATCGAATCTCGATATATATTCTACAAAAATTTCAGAAATAAATATTCATAAACCTTACGCGACGGTTTCGATTTCGAGGAAAAACAAGCCGCTTTAATTAATAATTTACACCATTTTACATGCAATTTAAAATTTAAATAAGAATGCTTGAATTCTCGCCGCAAATATTTCTTTCTGAATTATATGTTTTTATCGAGATACTTGATATGCGATATGATATATTATATACGTGGAAATGTACATACATGTGTGCGCACATATTAATTGGAAGTTCTCCTCGAATGTAGTAATTCTCCATTAATTTACAAATGCTACACGCAAAATTTATACACACATTTCTATAATATATTGCTTGGAATGTTTGCACAAAAACGACTACGGCTGTCGTTCTACCGTTTTGCACTCGTGGCAAATTACTATTACCAGTTCTATAGCCGTCATATGAAATATTCAAATTCATAATCACGATCATATCGAATGTAATTACATCATCATACGTAATGGCATCTTTTATGTACATTTGAGATATTTATGCGAATAACTAATGTTTTACCATTTCTTGCAATACTGCGTAAAAGACGGTCATTTTATTTCTTTTGCCATTATTATGTCATGTACAAGTACAACGAGACAGTCAGCTGATTTTTCGAATCATGAAAATTAACGCGATCGAATAAAGTTAATCGATATTAAAAATATTCGAACAAAAACAAAGTTAACGATGAATATTTTTGAAAAGATGAGAACAAATCACGCGCGTGAATATTTCAAATTTAATTATTCCTATATTAATTTTATTTTATAGTGAACCGAGAAAGAAATTTTATTGCCGCCATTTGACGAGAAGTTGAAAGACTAGAGTCAAATAATAAAAATAATCCTTTTATAGATTTGTATGAGCAATAATATCATCGAAGCAAGGACGATAAGAGAGAGCTCTTCAGTGCAATTAAATATCGCAACGATAAAACAATAGGCCCGAAATTAGAGTCGATTATACTTCTCGATATTTTAATATCCAATATCGGAACTCTTTCGTGCAGCGTTATTCGATATTAAATTCGTGGCATATTTGGAAGTGAACACAATTTAGTGCTCGTAATTAATATCCTTGCGGTATCCTTCGTACATGTATACGTCTCATCTACGTCGTTACACTGAGGAAGAAATTATCTTGAAATAAAAAAACTTCAGTTAACTCAAGAAAGCTATTTATTTGGTGGCTACTAATCACGTATTTACTTGTATTCAAAACGTCTGTTTGCTTAAGTTAAATATTCATTTACGTATGTTTAAAAAAATATATATTATAAAAAATATATATGCTTAAAAAAATATAATTTTTAATTAAATATTTTTATTTTAATTTTACATAAAAATTTATTAAAATCCATTTTTATTCCCAACAATTTTCAATTTTCTAATTTTAAAAACTAATATATTTAATCTAATAAATTATAGTTTTAAATTAATAAATTATAGTTTTAATTATAGTTTTAATTTAATAAATTATAATTTTAAAAACTAATATATTTAATTTAATAAATTATAGCATATATTTTACGAAAATAGTATTTAAATATAAAAAATATATAAATGAAAATAATCTACTTAATATAACATGCATATTTAATTAAAATTAAATGCTTTTGCTTAAATGAAATAAACAGTTCCTTGCATTTAAAGCGAAAGTTTCAAGAAAACAAATTTATTTGATAAAATAAAATCATTCAGATAGGAATAGAGAGCTGGAGGTCATTATTAGTCGCGAATTATATAGATTAAATAAAAGTAAATATTAATAGGTTAAAATTTTAGATTTAATAATACATCGATGTTTAAACAATTTAGGAGCGGACGTTTCGACTTATATTTAAGTCATCTTCAGCGCATGTTAATTCACGGAAAGTACTGATGTTGTAGTAAACATATATAATGAATTTCAATTCGCAGTAAACCGGTAGGGAGATCATCTTACGGTTATATCCATGGATGAAACGGACCTTACAAGTTTAGGTTAATAGGCCTAAATTTTGTGTGGTTCTAATGGACGTTTGTCAAACCGCTGACCAATAGTCAGGCTATAAAAATAATGTAATTGTCAACCGTGGATTCGCAATATTTACATTTGACATGAAACTTAAAACAATGAACAGAATATAAATTATTAAAATTAAAATAAATAAATCAAAATCAAGAAGTTATTAAGCTCAGTGATATAAGAGTAACTTACAAAATCATGCTGAATCCGAATATATTAATTTATATGTCACTGGAAAACTTTATAGAACTGTATGTTACTTCCTTCTTCGAAGGTACGAATATAAATGACAGAATAAGACGTTCGTTATACTAGCATTAATTTTCCTGTGTATGACCTCAGGCATCAGGAAGTTTATTTATTAAATCATTGTTATTACTATTTAATTTTTAAAATTTATTTGACTTAAAAATTTATTGAATTATTAAAAATAAAAATTTCTTAAAAATTTATTAAAACAATTTTTCCCTCGGTGTATCTTCTTGCACATACGCGACGCAAAAGCATCATACGTTGCACAGTCTTGATTGAACGTTTCCTCGCGCAGTTTTCGCGCAGCGACCGAGTTCCCAGGTATCGACTTTCGAAACTATCGGTTACCCGAGCTTTTCCCTAGATTGAATATTCAAATTAGTTGTTGTGTTGAAACCACGGGGAATATATCGCTTTTCCGCTTAATTTCGAGCGTAATGCTAAGAGAAGGAGAAAGAAAGAGAGACCGAGAGAGAGAGAGAGAGAGAGAGAGAGAGAGAGAGAGAGAGAGAGGGAGGGAGGGAGGGAGGGAGAGAGAGAGAGAGAGAGAGAGAGAGAGAGAGAGAGAGAGAGAGAGAGAGAGAGAGAGAGAGAGAGAGAGAGATGAAAAGTCACGAAAAAGTGGCTATCGAGAGAATTTCTTGTTTCATCTTCCGATCTCGTAATGCATTTATATCTTCTACTCCAGTCCGTCACATCCGCTTACATCCGCTGGATTCACAGGCGCATTTAGTCGATAAATTCTGCAGTAAGATGTTAAGATGAATCAAGGAACGCTTTGCGTCCCATCCGAATGGATAAGCTCTCGAGATGCAATTATATTCTTTATGAGATGCAATTATTCTCTTTATTCCTCGAGATTACCTTTGCAAGATGACTGACTTTGTCATCTCGTATACATCTCGGCGATAAAAGCGCTTGCATAGTCGATGAATAATTTTTATTCGACGCGACGAATATACGTCCGTTGACAAAGAAGCGTCCGTTTCTTTCAACATTTTTTTTTTTCTCCTATTGAACTTTAATAAACTACTAAAGCATCATATATTGATGGCAACGGATCAGTTGTACAGGCGGTTTATCAAAGTAATCGTGAGAGATGGATGGAACTTTGTTGCTTACCGAGACAGACTGCTGAATCATTCAGGAAGAACTGTATTTTCGTATCGCCCCATTAGTTTTCGTTATGTGCACACGGCGAGAATTGTATGGCGCGAGGGTGTTTGGATGGCGAAAAAGAATCGATCTTTTTACTCGCGAGCGAATACCAGGAATAGATCAAAGCATCAATGGTTACTTTGTACTTTTCAGATAGAAGAATCGGATCGGAGAAACAAACTCTTGTATACAATGTGCTTGTCCGATTCTTAGATCTTTCGATTATATTTGTGAATATCCGGTTACAAAGGCTTCAAGTTGTGTGATTATATTGTGCAAATTATTTTCACGTTTTGTGAAAGCATTTTATATTGCTATTTATTGCCCGATGTAATCTTTATTATGTAAATAATGATAAAAATACGAGTAATCTTGGGAATATACGATTTTATATTTTTCCATGCTTATATCTTTTTTTCTGATATTAATGTTCATATTAATGTGTCTTATAAAGTAACAATGATGATATGTATATTTATTTTACCATATATTGATAAAAATTAGTAAATTAGTTTATTACTAAAATATAATTAATTTTATTGTGCATAATTAATTATACAGTGGATGACAAGAATACAAATATAAAAAAGAATTTTGAAGATAATATATGATACTGGCTTTCGTTGATTTCAAAAAAATATGATTTTAAGATCACCTTTTATATTTATATATAAACATTTTTAATATTTATTTTATAGTGAATATTTTGCGCAATTTCCAATTTTATATCACTATCTAAAGTCTCACGATTATGGACTGAAGGTTTAACAGAAATAGAGTATTTATTTACGTTGATGAAAATCGATTTATCGATTTTCGACGCAAATGCACTTCAGCAACCAATGTTTCGTGTTTTTATGTCTGTACGTGTCATTATCAGCTGCCAACGGTTCTTTTCCCTACAATTCCATTATTTTCAAAATGATATTTAGATCGTAATAAAATTCAAAGATTCTTGAAGTACATATAATCTGTATATATAATTTGAAGAATCTTAATAATCTATAATTTTATCTATATAATTTTATTACTTTATTATATAATGAATTTTTGAGAAAAAGTATTATATTACATTATAAATCACAATTTTAGTAATATTCGTTATCTATTGGATTTCTAATTAACGCACATGAAAAAATAAAGAAAAGTTAATAAAATAGGTGAAATAAATCTTTATTTAATATTTGCTCATTTAATATTTTCTTGCTCATAATAATATTATGACATAATATATATGAGTTTAATGGACTGATTACGTGTGCTTAATTTTGTTTATTCATATTCGTATGATTACTGACATCTCATGTAAATCGATATCGAGTGTGATTCGAACACGTTGAAAAACAATTGTGTCGTTTATTTTAAGTGACACTTTTTTGAGAACAGTGACTAGAAACAGACAATGTAAATTATTCACAATCATTTAGAGATATTTTAAGTGTAAAAATTGAGAGACAGAAATTTTTTGCATTTAGAAAACAATCGACAAGATGAATCGTTTCGAGGATTTTGATATAAAGCGCGTCTCGGAGGCTTCAAGACATGTCGCCATCTCCTGGTATAAATGAGCGTTTGTATCGATTGTATCGATTACATTATCCAATCAGATGGATTTCTGTGATATCGCAACGCCAATGGCCAGCGAACTTGACTTCCTCCTCAAGAATCGATGCCATCTACGTTATTCGCGAAAGGTGACTGCGAAAGGAGTTTGTGTCTGACAAAGGTACTCATAATCCAGTGTTTTCGATATGTCCGATGAAAAGGACGTCAGCATCGATGACGAGTACTATACGCCTGCAAAATCGTTCAGGAACGCCACGTTGCTGGACGCATGTTGCACGCCTGTTAAAACCAAAGTTCTGGAGAGGACGCTCCAGCAGGAGGCTGAAAAATATTTCACGCCGGCGACTGAGTTTCTACAGTGGAGGTGCGTCGATCAACACGCGACGCCTGTCACTCCTGATTTATCGAACATAGACGGGACTGGCGATGTTAATACGCCGATATCTCCGTTGGCCGCCCGCATGATCAAGCTCGGCATCTCTACTCCGAAAAATATATGTGCGCCCGCAAAAGAGATCGATCTTAAAATTGTGCCTTCGAAGAATCAAGAATGCGTCGATTATTTTCTGGGTGATAAGAGAACAGGTTCTCCGGATGATAAGAGAGCAGGTTCTCCGGATGATAAGAGAGCAGGTTCTCCGGATGATAAGAGAGCAGGTTTTTCGGATTACGAGGTAAAAAGAGTCGTCACCCTGATATATTGCCCTTGACATATCTTGCAAAAAGATTATGATATATAATGTGTGTATAGGATGTTACTTACGTGTCCGAGGTGATCTTTTTGTTGATGGCGTCCAACAGGAATCGCCGGATGAAAATGGAAGCTGCGCGCAAAAGAGCTTTGCGAAGAAAAGCGCTTTTAATGACTTTATGGGGTCCGATCAAGAGTAATTGAATGGCAAAATTCATCAATTTAGAGAATTGATTCGCGATCAGAAATTTTAATAATGTTATCTTTTAATTTTATTTTTCTCGAAGTAAACTGCGATATAATAATAGATAACTTATATTTATAATTAATCAGATTCTAATAATAGATAACTTATATTTATAATTAATCAGATTCTAGTATTAAAAAATGCTGTCCACGATTGATGGGTCTTGTATCGACAGGAGATTTGCAGATTATTATTGTGAAATTATATTAAATAGTTATTCGCGCAGAAGAGCTTTGCGAAGCGCTTTCAACGACTTTATGGGGTCCGATCAAGAATAATTGAATGGCAAAATTCATCAATTTAGAGAATTGATTCGCGATCAGAAATTTTAATAATGTTATCTTTTAATTTTATGTTTCTCGAAGTAAATTACGATATAATAATAGATAACTTATATTTATAATTAATCAGATTCTTTAGTATTAAAAAATGCGGTCGATTTTGCAGATTATTATTGTGAAATTATATTAAATAGTTATGAAGTGGTAAAGATGAAGTGGTACTTTTGTTTAAATATATAAAATTTTAGCAAGTTGATTGAATTTATGAACCTTTGACATTTTAATTTCATTATTTTCAAAATGATATTTAGATCATAATAAAATTCAAAGATTCTTGAAGTATATATAATCTGTATATATAATTTGAAGTATCTTAATAATCTATAATTTTATCTATATAATTTTATTACTTTATTATAAAATGAATTTTTGAGAAAAAGTATTATATTACATTATACATCACAATTTTAGTAATATTCGTTATCTATTGGATTTCTAATTAACGCACATGAAAAAATAAAGAAAAGTTAATAAAATAGGTGAAATAAATCTTTATTTAATATTTGCTCATTTAATATTTTCTTGCTAATAATAATATTATAACATAATATATATGAGTTTAATGGAATGATTACGTGTGCTTAATTTTGTTTATTCATATTCGTATGATTACTGACATCTTGTGTAAATCGATATCGAGTGTGATTCGAACACGTTGAAAAACAATTGTGTCGTTTATTTTAAACGATACTTTTTTGAGAACAAAGACTAGAAACAGACGATGTAAATTATTCACAATCATTTAGAGATATTTTAAGTGTAAAAATTGAGAGACAGAAATTTTTTGCATTTAGAAAACAATCGACAAGATGAATCGTTTCGAGGATTTTGATATAAAGCGCGTCTCGGAGGCTTCAAGACATGTCGCCATCTCCTGGTATAAATGAGCGTTTGTATCGATTGTATCGATTACATTATCCAATCAGATGGATTTCTGTGATATCGCAACGCCAATGGCCAGCGAACTTGACTTCCTCCTCAAGAATCGATGCCATTCTGCGTTATTCGCGAAAGTGACTTATGCGAAGTAGTTTGTGTCTGGCAACGGAACTCATAGTCGCCCAGTTTTCCAAAATGTCCGATAAAAGTGAATACGGCACACCGATCGAAAGAAACGTCCAGAAGGAAGATTATTCGACCCCGGCGGCCGAATTTTTACAGTGGAGATCAACACGCGATCAATACGCGACGCCTGTCACTCCTGATGTTTCGCACATTTTAACACGCGAGGATACGCCGGGAATGTCTTCTCCATGCGATAAATCATTACTCGCTCGTATGAGCGAGTTTTGTTTATCGACACCTAAAAATATATGTGGCCCAACGACACCAAAGATGGATTCGATCTTGATGAACCTGGAAAAGAACCTGGATTGGATGGCGGACAAGGATGCGTCGTCGATGATGGACAGCAATTCATCGAATCTAACATACGATGACAGCTCGAACGATCATTTGTCATCACGAGACGCGGAAAGTGACGCGACTCAGGAGACCGTGATTCCGTCAGGCTTCGCAGAAGCGGAAACGAAGAAGCTTGAAAACAATCTTGTCGACACAGAGTCGACTGATTTGCTCGACAAGTCGACGGCGACTTTGTTGTACGATCAGCCGGGTTCGAGGGACAGAGTATACGAAACGGACACCTTTGACACCTTCAACGTCCAGTACAATCGAAACGTATCCTCCACTCGTTCCTACGTGGAAAAACTAGGAATGAAGGAGCAAGACCGTCCCTCTGGTTGTTTTCGGTGTTTCTGGTCTCCGAGGAGGATCATGAGAACGTCGCCTTGTCGATTTCGAGAATCGAAGAGAATTGAGGAGAGACATTTGGAAGACTGTGGAAGTGTCAAGACGACTTCGGGAAGCATAGAAAGCGCGAAAACGTCGGGCGATCGTGAGGACCCGCCTCTCAAACTACGTCTTGGTAGGATCAGGGGAGACCGGGAGGTCCAGATACCCGAAGAGAGAGCCAAGTCAGGTAACGTGTTTCACCTTGATGGGCGGGAAACGGTCGATCGATGAGATTATGGCGTGCCTCGCAGCAATAACAACGATTCCAACCTTGAAGGCCCTATGTTTTTGCATTCGCCCGACAAACCTTACGAGATATTGTGATCCCGCGGTGCCTCGTCGTCGCCCACCTGTTACCTGTGAATCGTTATCGCTTCGTGCAAACTGGAATCTAACTGGAATATATTTTTCTCACCGTTATTTATCATCGCATTATTTTAACGAGCTCGATATCGGGATTTCAAACACGATCGATCAGAAATGGAGGAAGACGTTACCTTCGTTTCGCGGAAGAAATGATACTTTATGATGTTTGTGATCGATTGGCGTGGCTGGAAATATTTTTTTCTCTCAATTAAAATTCAATAGAGAAACCATATAATTATAGAATTCTTTGCGTATCGTGACGCGGTCGACGATCGGCGAAAAAACTCCGTTTTACGACGCTGTTTTTTCAGCTGCCACCACCTCGTCCGTACACGTACACTATACTTAAATAAAGATAAATCGTGCGAGACGCGACGAGCGCGATTAACAACTTTACGTTGCGTAATGTTGCTTGTCGAACGTCACGAGGAACATATCGCGTGTATTACACAATCGTTTTTACGTAATTACCTGAAATTAAACGCACGAGGCTTTTTTATCGCATCTGTATCACGTCTCATTGATCCCTTTAAAGATTCCAGATGTGACAGCACGAAAATAAAAGATGGCAAATAAAGCGAACGAAGCTCGCATGTTTACATCTTGACTGATGAGAAAATGAAAATGCGACTCTGGTAATTTCGCGAATGCAAATCGCGATTTAAGGATGTTTCGTATGTACCATCCCAGCAAAAAATAGCTGAAAATCAATATTGAATATATCCATTTTTGATGTATAGTTTGAGTAAGAAATTGTGTGGAATATTACAATTTGAGCTTAGCTACAGTGCAGAGGTGTATTTTGTAATATTTATTACGTTTTTACTGAAATATTCCGAATTTTGTTAAGGATGTTTTGTACCTATTTTCAAAATATTGAGAATTTAATGAAAATTGTACAGAATGGCCTTACTATATATTTAGAACCTTAAGTACAATTTTTAAATCGTTTCACTAAAGCGTTTACAAGTTATAAGGATTTTAATTTCTACCGAATTAACATGTGTTCTTATGGGAAACGTAACCACGTTAATTCAAATGACAAAAACACATGGAAATAATATTCAGAATTTGTTTAAAATTTGCAAAAGTTTAGATACCGAAGAAATATTTGGTTAAATAATGTTATACAAATGCTAACTGGTTAAAAAGATATTAAAATATAATATAATTTATAATATAATATAATTATAATATAATTTAGATATTATAATTTAATGAAGTTAGCCATGTATCTGTCACAAGGCGAAATTCTCTGCCAAAAGTTAATCATTTCGATTAAGGATGTTTACAATTTGATCTTAGCTACAGTGCAGAGATGTATTTTTTAATATTTATTGCGTTTTTACTGAAATATTCCGAATTTTATTAAGGATGTTTTGTACCTATTTTCAAAATATTGAGAATTTAATGAAAATTGTACAGAATGGCCTTATTATATGTTTAGAACCTTCAATACAATTTTTAAATCGTTTCACTAAAACGTTCACAAGTTATAAGGATTTTAATTTCTACCGAATTAACATGTGTTCTTATGGGAAACGTAACCACGTTAATTCAAATGACAAAAACACATGGAAATAATATTCAGAATTTGTTTAAAATTTGCAAAAGTTTAGATACCGAGGAAATATTTGGTTAAATAATGTTATACAAATGCTAACTGGTTAAAAAGATATTAAAATATAATATAATTTATAATATAATATAATTATAATATAATTTAGATATTATAATTTAATGAAGTTAGCCATGTATCTGTCACAAGGCGAAATTCTCTGCCAAAAGTTAATCATTTCGATTAAGGATGTTTACAATTTGATCTTAGCTACAGTGCAGAGATGTATTTTTTAATATTTATTGCGTTTTTACTGAAATATTCCGGAAATTTGTTAATTGGCGTCCAACGTGGGGCCCATTAAAAACAGGGCATCGAATAATTAAAAATTTTCCGTTAGTAATTCGTTGAAACAAGGAAGAAGGAACTCGAGAATAACAAGATCAACTGTGATATATTGAATTTTGAATGTTGTGATATCTCTTTGTGTCTTATAATTGAACATGTATTTCTCTTGTATTTTTGAGGGTCGCGAGCAAATAAGATTTTGAAAACAACGGTCACAAATTGGCGAAATAATTAACTTTTGGCAGAGAATTTCGCCTTGTGACAGATACATGGCTAACTTCATTGAATTATATTTAATATCTTTTTAACCAGTCAGTACTTGTATAATATTATTTGACCAAATATTTCCTCTGTATCTAAGCTTTTGCAAATTTTTCACAAATTCTGAATATTATTTCCATGTGTTTTTGTCATTTGAATCGACGTAATTATACGTTTCCCATAAGAACACATGTTAATTCGGTGCAAATTAAAATCCTTATAACGTGAATCGCTTTGAAAAATTGTACTGAAGATTCTAAACATATGTAAGGACATTCTGTACAATTTTCATTCAATTCTTAATATTTTGAAAATACGTACAAAACATCCTTAAAGCGACCATACGATAACTCGAAATCATAAATCATCCGCTCGGCAAGGAACGGCCAAGGAAAACAAAAGAGAGAGAGAGGGAGAGGAAGAGATTAAGCATCTCAACATTTACATATTTATTTCGCGTAACATCTGCACACCCATCAATTCTTACAAGTTGGCGACTTTCGTCTCGCTCGCAGAGTCGTTCGATCAATATTTAGGCACAGTTGTCGTCGGTATTTGCGCTTCGATTTATCTATTCCGACGAATCGCTTTGTAGCGCCGCGGCACCTCGTAAAAAGGCGTGAATTGTCACGTGAAATTACAGCTCGAGTGTAATTAATGCCGCTATCGCGTAGCAAATGACCCACTCCTTATGTCAAGAGAAGGTAAAGGAAAATTTACGAAGCGTCTGTAAAGATTCTCAGTCTTTTAAATCGCGATTGTAGGAAATTCTATATATTGAATATTAATTTAATTTATTTAATATTAATTATCATTTATTTAATATTACAAATTTAATTACTTAATATTAATATTAAATTATAATAATTTAATTAATAATATAATTATCTTTGAACAAAAAAAAATACTTTATTCGCATCATTTTACTTGTTTTTTTCATCATGCAAAAATTTTATCGAGCACGTTGCCTCCGAATTTTTTTCTAATTCCGTGTCGTTTGTTTTGTTCGACAGATGTCCCGTTTCCACCGTCGCACAAAATGACAGTGGCAGAAGTCTTCGACGAACGAACAGGATCTCCGCGGCCGGAGGTCCTGAAGCAACACTTTATCCTCGAGGGTAGGATCGACGAGGCTGCGGCTCTTCGCATAATCAACGATGGAGCCGCACTTCTACGCTCGGAGAAAACCATGATAGACATCGAGGCTCCTGTCACCGGTGAGTGGAAAATTTAACCCTCAATCCAATTGAATTTACACCGCTATTAAATTATCGTTATTAATTATTTTACGCGATATATGGACTTTTCTTCGCCCGAAGGGTAAACAATATCGGCGATTCTTTTCAATTCGAACAATACGCGCCCCGATAGAAATCAAACGAGAAATCCTGATTAATTGAAATGTAAAATATGCAGGTTTTAATCAAAACTGAAAATTCGGTCCGTTCATCTAACCGCGAGCACCGAGTCGTCCGCCTTCGCTCCTTGATCAATTATCCTTGAATTAAGTCCGTCGCGAGACGACCTCCTTTGTGGCGTCCGCTGATTGTTCTCTGGTAGCGCAGAATAGGAGAACGTAATAAATCCCACCCTCGGCTACTCTTGGATCGATTCAGTCCCATTTCCTTCCACGCCCCCTCCCTCCCTCCCTCCCCCTCCCCCCGTCATCCTCTTACACACGCACCATTGACAGTTATTACTTTCTGCGTCGTCGCGATACAAGTTTCATTAGTGGAATTAATGGGCCACGCGTGAATTCATTTTTCTCTTTTTTTTTTTGCAGTACAGTATTTTGTTATTCCATTAACCGGCCGTCTTTAAAACGTTAAAAAGCGGTTTTTAATTTGCGAGAGAGAAGCCTCTCGCAATAATGATCCGAGTTATTCAATGTCCGAGTTATTTTTAATTAACGTAATATTCATTACTTTTTTTTTTTTGGAGCGCTCATGAAAAAAAAAGTGCAGAGTATCGGCTTCAGCTCTGATTATTCCGGACGTTTTTTTGGATAATCGAGATAATTAACAGGAATTAATCATGTACATAAAGAAGCGGTTTCGTGATTTTTCGCTGCCCCTGATAAATCTTTGATCCGCCGAATCGTGCGCGCGCATATTTTTCGCCGCCGTATGCCGCGTCTCGATTGGAATCGATGGAATTTGGTTTGATATTTATTCATATCGCTGATCGGTCGTCCCTCGATTTTTCGCACGCTTTTCCCTTCCCTCGGTATCCTCGGTACTATTCGTTTGGTTGCGTCCCACGTCGCGAAATAATTTATCTTTCTACCCAACTACAGCTATTCTATCCTGCTTTACCGCGATGCGGATTCGCATTCGACAACCAGACGCCGCAATTTCTCTCTGTTGCTTCCGCTCCTCTTTTTCCTCCCTCTCTTTCCTCCGGCGACACATGTGCCAAAAGCGCGGCACCAGTTATTGTCTCGGACAAAGAGACGACGCAAGAAGAAAATACTATCTTTCGGGCAGTATTTTAAATCGCTCTCGCAAATTGCCTGCAATTTCTGAATTTACGAAAATTTAGTTAAATGCGAATATACGATCGATTACAAGTTTTTCTTCGAGTGATAAATTATGATACTGAAAATTCATAAATTAATCCGAAACACAAGAGAGGCAACTTTGAAATCCACCTATTAATCAATTAATCGATTATTATTTGTCTTGCACGAAAAATTAATTTGCATGATTGGAAAATAATTTACTTTCATAGAGATTCGGAATTTATAATCAATACTTTACATTTTATTAGGAACAAAACGTATCATTTTTTTTTTAATTTTTGAATGTCTTTTAATTATGATTTATAATTAACAGGCGTTAGTTAAATGCGAATATACGATCGATTACAAGTTTTGCTTCGAGTCTGAGTGATAAATTGTGATACTGAAAAATTCATAAATTACCAGTTAGTACTTGTATATTATTATTTGACCAAATATTTTCCTCTGTATCTAAACTTTTTCAAATTTTAAACAAATTTTGAATATTATTTCATTGTTTTTGTCATTGAATCGACGTGGTTATACGTTTCCCATAAGAACACATGTTAATTCGGTGCAAATTAAAATCTTTATAACTTGTGAATCGATTTAAAAATTGTACCGAAGATTCTAAACATATGTAAGGACATTCTGTACAATTTTCATTAAATTCTCAATATTCTGAAAATAGGGTATAAAACATCCTTAATAAATTTATTTATATTTATATATTTATTTTATTAAACTACAAACACAAAGAGTACTTTTATTTACTAATATTATTAAGGATGTTTTGTATGTACAATCCCAGCTAAAAATCAATATTTACGAATATATCCACTTTTGGTGTATTTTGAGTATGAGAAATTGCGTGAATATTCCAATTTGATCTTAGCTACAGTGCTTATATGTATTTTTAATATTTATTGCGTTTTTACTGAAATATTCCGAATTTTGTTAATCGAAATAATTAACTTTTGCCAGAGAATTTCGCCTTGTGACAGATACATGGCTAATTTCATTGAATTATATTTAATATCTTTTTAATCCGTTAGTAGTTATATAATATTATTTGACCAAATATTTCCTCTATATCCAAACTTTTGCAAATTCTAAACAAATTCTGAATATTATTTCCATGTATTTTTGTCATTTGAATGAACATGGTTATACGTTTCCCAAGAACACATGTTAATTCGGTACAAATTAAAATCCTTATAACTTGGAAATGCTTTAGCGAATCGATTTAAAAATTGTACCGAAGATTCTAAACACATGTAAGGCCATTCTGTACAATTTTCATTAAATTCTCAATATTTTGAAAATAGCTACAAAACATCCTTAATCAATATTATTAATATTAATAATATTATTTTATTTATCTTATCAATTATTGTATTAATTTTCTCGCCTTCAAAATTTCATGTAAATGTACAAAACTTTTCATATGCATTATTCACACACGTACAAAAGTTTAAACACATATCAGATTACTCTATTCAAAATACATCCTAAAAAGACGTGCAAAGTACACACTTCTATGCAACACATAGAATATATCTTGTCCTTCTCGATAAACTTTGTCCCGCATTAAAACGAGCCTGAGGCGATATAACCGACAATGTACACAGATATCAACACCTGCGAGCGGTATCAGCTAATCCACCTAATCCTACGTATGCATTAAAGCATCAAATATTAAGGTCGCCGCTTTCGAAGGAGCCTCGATCGCGCGCTGGGAGAGGGGAATAAGCTTCTCGAACCGGTCCATCGGGCGTATATTCGCAGACTTAGTCTCCTTCCCACTTAATATGACAATTAACGACTCCGCGGCGCGATCGGGTACACTTGGTGCCCGGAGCTCCGTCGCCATCGCGCCGACCATATGTGAACTGTCAAACGCCCATGTGTCACGTGCGCGCGCGCTCTCCGCGACGGAGTCAATTAATACTCCTCCACAAAAGCTGCCCCTCGCCCTCTTGCTCCCCGTCGGGAATTTTCTGAATAATTTACCGCTCGTGTCGCCGCCGTCCCGAGGACTACTTTTGCAGTTGCACTTTGACCGCTTTTGCGTCGCGAGCTGTCACGTTATTGGACGAATTGTCCAACTCGGTCGGATTACGTTGTTACGATTGTTGCGTAAAATTCGCGACGACCGAGTATAATTATTAAATGTACGGTTTATCCGCAGGAGGGAATTTTCATCCGCGGATTTATTAAAACGTCAGCCCGCGCGATGCTTTTACTTCGTATTAATTTGGCGTTATCCGTTCTCGCGCAAAAAAAGATCGCCAAGACTTTTACCGCCCGTGGATAAAAGCTGCTCGATTTTTCGCCCCCGCAAACCACGCCCATTCCACTCCGTATAAAGGTGTAATTAACGTACAGAATCTAATACATATCTACATTTTCCGCAACATGCGTTCGTATGGGAATGGAATTTGCATGTGCTGCGGATCAATATATTTTTATATGTTACAATGTCTTTCGTTCGAAATGAAAAAGTTTGACAGGTTAAAATCTGTAAATCAAGAAATCTGTCCGCAAATAAATTTCGCAAAAAGCCTTCTTTAATAAACGCTAAGTTCATTTTAGTTGTGGAAAAATCAGAAATAAAAAAAGATATTCTTCAAATAGTCTTAAGAATATATAACGAATAAATTTCTAAACGGAAAATATAATACTATTGATGATATTCGACAGTGTAAATGCACAGAATTATATTAGAAAATTAGTAAAGTGTCTGTATGTACACAAATCTCTAAAAAAATTCCTTCGAAATTCACTGATCTTCCAAATTTTTTATATTTTTTCAAATTCTAAGTAAAGAAAATATTTTAAAGATTTTTTGAAATGCAACTTTCTAAAATAAATTTTTTTATTGCCTGCGTTTTCTGTGTTTTTCGCTCATAGAGAAGAAAAAACACACATTCTTAAATTTCAAAAATTAGAAATGTACTGAAAAAACCGAATAACTTTGATAAGATGAAACATTTCTTTCTCTCTTTATTTGCATAACATTTTAATTTTTTTTTTAAATTAAAATTCCAATAAAAAAAACACTGCATATTCAGTATTTCGTAAAGATATTTAAATAAACTGATACACATTTACAATATTTATAATTTTAATTTTAATTTAAATTATTTAACTTAATTTAATTTAATTTTTAATTTGTAATTATTTAATTTTTAATTTGTAATTATTTAATTTAATTATAATTATAAACGTTTAATTTATGACTTGCCAACTGTTTACACAATATGAAAATAAAAAGAGAAATGATCAAAAAGAGAAAATTTTCTTTGAATTCCCTGACTCTCATAGAATAAAATTGCATAAAAATTTTCTAATTTTTAAAAGAAATCTAGAATTTCCATGTTTTTTCAGGAAATAGATCCTGATTAAGCAATCATCCCTCCCAGGGATTTCGTACGGTTGTACTATTTAGATCGAATTTAATAGTCCGCGACGAGCACATTCTCGTTAAGAAACTCCACTCCCACATCGCAAAGGATTTCCTCGACGGAGGACGAAATGTATCGCGAATATCATGATCCCTTAATGAGATCGTTTTTGTGCCGCGCTTTAAACCTGTTGTTATAAGACGAAAGCATCGAGGTCGAGCAATCGATATGATCATCTCGAGTTTCATGTTATTTCAAACAATCGGGCGCGATTTTGCGCAACTAAATACATACCATTCAAAAATATACAGAGTGTCCCAAAAATTCCAGACCGAATCGAATATTTCATAAACTATGCATTTTAGAAAGAAATGTTTCAGACAAAAGTTGTATGGCTTGAAGAGGGCCATCAGATAGTGACAATGATTTGACATGGGAGAATCATTTGAAAGTCATGTGAAGATCACCGTCAATTTTTTAAATGGAATCACCTATTTTTTATTAAATATTCTGGTAGCTCACGTCGAGAGCTTTTCAAAACACTATAATTAAATATTTTTTCATTGAGTATACTTTAGTATACTTTTCGAGTTATGAGGCTTGAAATCATTTCTTAATTTTACATAAACCGTAAAATATCTTGTGAAATATTCATTTTTCGATTATCATACTTTAATAATTTTATATACAAAATAATGAGAGGAATCAATTGATGTAAAGAAAAAACATAGTT